GCTAGGATTACAGGCGTGAGCCACCGCGCCCAGCCCAGTATCTTTCTTTATAGTGTAATGTCAACTAATGAATGTAGAAGAAATGATAAAATTAAAAAATCACTACTTGGCACCAACAATTGTAGTAATAATTGATTCAGGCAAGAATCATCAATGGTTGTTAAAACTATGGATGGAAGTTTGATTAAGAGCAAGATGCTTACACAGTGCATAGTATTTACAAAATGCTTATTAATTATAAAGGAAGAAAGAATAACAGTGAAGAAACATAGTAGATATTACCTTTTTCAAGTGACTACCAGTAATGTGACAAATTGAAATTATGCACCACTTGATGTGATACACTGAGAAAAATATACCATTACTTTCTGTGATATTCCTGCCAAAAAGCATACTCTAAGTATGTTCTAACAACAGCCATATTTTAGAAGATATTTGTTCACATTATGCAAATAAGAATCACATAAAACATTTAAATTGATTTTGAATTTAAATTTATAAAGTTTGAGAAGCACTGTTAGGTTGAAATTATTTGAGATTTAAAACCAAAGGAGTGAGGCTTTAAAATAACAATAGGAACAAGAAACAATCTTTTAAGGGTTTTCAAAACTTACCTTAAATTTATACTTAGTACTACGTCTGAGATTTTTCACTGTGTAAGCAAGATCTTCTCCATCATATTTAGGCTTAAAACCATATCCCTGCAAAACAAAGTCTTCATTAGATGTCTAATAGCAGAAATATGGGCAATAATGAATATTTGAAGAGACCCTGGTTCCTCTTCATCTTCTATAATACTATGTGCAATGGGATTAATACTGTTAATATAATCCTCACCCTTATGCTTCTGTCATAAGTGGATGGACCCAGAAATGCTACTGAACATTTGTGGGAAGATGAAGGAGACCACTAATTCTCAGTAAAGAAAGTAGCCAAGAGAAAATCTTTTCCTCTTTGAGGGAAGAAAGGATAGAGTTTGAGCCAGTGGTAATGTCACCATTAGTAAGCTATGCCAAGAACAGGAATTTCCCAGAGAGATGTTGCAAGAGCTAAACAGAACTGTAAGTATTTGGCATATTTAACTTGCCCTGAACACACGGTTGTGTTTAAGTGAATAAACGAATAGTTGTGCTGGCAGGTGAGGATGTCACTTAGGTTTGGGATTGCTACTTACAGCACCAGTGACAATGCTTTACTACTTTCCCAATGTTATCATTTCTAAAACTTCTAAAAATTGGGATATAATTCACATATCATAAAATTCACCATTTTAAAGTATAAAATTCCATGGCTTATGGTATATTCACAAGGTTGTGCAACCCTCACCTAATTCCTTCAGAATAAGTCCTGTACTTTTGGTTGGCAGTCACTTCTTCCCTACTCCTATTTACTAACATACTTCCAGTCTCTATGGATTTGTCTATATCCATGAAAATAGAATCATATAGTACATGGTCTTTTGTGACTGGTAGATAAGTGATGGGTAATTGGATTCAGACTGCACTACATGGTTTCACGGGAGACTCTTAAAATCATCTGTGACACTTTGGAAAGTAGTGTCTGAATATATTAATAGCTGGAGAAGGGAGACACAATATTTCCTCATCTTTTAGAGCCGCTTATTCTAGAAGGCTGTGGTGATCTTCTCTTCTCCCTGTCTCCTCCAAAGCAGATACAAAGTGCAGTCTTTGTTGTTTCCAGGCACAGACATACAAACACACACAAAAAACAAAACACCCTTCTACACATCAAGAAAACAAAAGACTGAGTTCTCAAGTTACTTCCAATTCTTCTCAAACTATAACAAACCAAAGCTTCAAAGGATTTGGGAAAGGAGCTAACTCTGTGGCAATATTTATTGTACTAGGATTAATGCCACACTAAGATGTTTTAAATACCCTGTTTAAAATACGTATTCATACTTACTGAAGTTTCTTCCTCCATCTCTAAAATGTAAGAAATTCCTTCATCTGATGGTGTTCCTGAGGGTTTACTCCATTGTAAGGACAACCAAGTAACTCCAGCCTTAGTTAATACAGGACTTGCTGGTGTAGAAGGGGCACAACCTGAGGTGTAATACAAGACTTCTTCACTAAAACCACTGTTGAAACAAATAGTTTTTAAGAAGGAATGAGAAAAAAATATTTTTACAGCTAAAGAACAAATGATTTGACAAACGTTATTTTCGAAAATGATGTAATTTTTCATAAATTATAATCC